TTTTAAAATGCTGGAGTGAGTGCTTTCGTTCCTCCGTGTTGCTCCTTCCACCCACGCCGCTCACCCACACACTACCCTCGTGGTGCCCACCCATCCCAAACCCCAAGAGCAACAACACACAAGCCGGCAAGGGAGGCTGGCCAGCAAGCCAGGCAGGCAACAGCCCTGCTCCTAGCTCTTCTTCCTTTCCGCTTACTTGCTTGCCCGCCATGCTCGTCTTCCAACCTCCCTTCAACGCAACCTCCCTTCCCTTTGTCTTTCCCTTCTCCCCTCTCCCCTCTCTCTTCTTCCCTGTCACTGCTCACTTCCCCCCTCTCTCTTCTCTTTTCTTCTCTCTTCCTTCTCCCCTCTCCCCTCTCACTTCTCCCCTCTCTCCTCTCTCCTCTCCCCTCTCCCTTCTCTCCTCTCCCCTCTCCCTTCTCCCCTCTTTTTCTCCTCTCTCCCTTCTCCCTTCTCCCCTCTTCCCTCTCCCTTCTCACTCTCAATTCTCTCCTCTCCCCCTCCCTTCTCCCTCTCCCTTCTCCCCTCTCCCCTTCTCTCTCCCTTCTCCATTCTCCCCTCTCCCTTCTCCCCTCTTCCCTCTCCCTTCTCCCTTCTTCCCCCTCCCTTCTCACTCTCAATTCTCTCCTCTCCCCCTCCCTTCCCCCTCTCCCCTTTCCCTTCTCCCCTCTCCCTTCTCCCTCTCCCCTTCTCCCTCTCTCCCTTCTCCCTTTCTCCTTCTCCCCTCTCCCTTCTCCCCTCTTCCCCTCCCTTCCCCCTCTCTCCCTTTCCCTTCCCCTCTCCCTTTCCCCTCTCCCTTCTCCCTCTCCCTTCTCCCTCTCCCTCCCCTCTCCTTTCCCTCTCCCTTCTCCCTTCTCCCCTCTCCCTTCTCCCTTCCCTCTCCTTCTCCCCCTCTTCTCCTTCTCTCCTCTCCCCTCTCCCTTCTCCTCTCTTCCTTCTCCCTCTCTTCTTCCCTTCTCTCCCTCTCCCTCTCCCCTTCTCTCCCTCTCCCTCTCTCCTCCTTTCCTCCCTCTCCCCTCTTCTCCCTTCTCCCTCTCCCTCTCCCTTCTTCTCCCCTCTCCCTTCTCCCTCTCCCTTCTCCCTATGCCACTCTCCCTTCTCCCCTCTTACTTCTTCCCTTCTCTCCTCTCCCCCCTCCCTTCCTCCCTCCTCCCTTCTCCCTTCTCCCTTCTCCCCTCTTCTTCTCTCTCCCTTCTCCTCTCCCCTCTCCTTCTCCCCTCTCCCTTCTCCTCCTCCCTCTCCCTTCTCCCTTCTCCCTCTCTCCCTTCTCCCTCTCCCTCCCCTCTCCCTTCTCCCCTCTCCCTTCTCCCTATGCCCCTCTCCCCTCTCCCTCTCCCCCCTCTCCCTTCTCCCCTCTCCCTTCTCCCTTTTCCCCTCTCCTTTCTCATCTCTCTCCTTCTCACTTCTCCCCTTCTCCCTCCCCTCTCCCTTCTCCCCATTCCTCCCTCTCCCTTCTCCCCTCTCCCTTCTCCCTTTGCCACTCTCCCCTCTCCCCTCTCCCTTCTCCCCTCTCCCTTCTCCCTTTCCCCCTCTCCTTTCTCATCCCTTCCCCCCTCTCCCTTCTCCCCTCTCCCTTCTCCCTTTTCCCCTCTCCTTTCTCATCTCTCTCCTTCTCACTTCTCCCCTTCTCCCTCCCCTCTCCCTTCTCCCCATTCCTCCCTCTCCCTTCTCCCTTCTCCCTCTCCCTTCTCCCCTCTCCCTTCTCCCCTCTCCCTTCTCCCTTGCCACTCTCCCCTCTCCCCTTCCCTCCCTTCTCCCTCTCCCTTCTCCCTTTCCCCTCTCCTTTCTCATTCTCTCCACTCCTTCTCCCTCTCCCCTCCCCTCTCCCTTCTCCCCTTCTTCCCTCTCCCTTCTCCCTTCTCCCCTCTCCCCTCTCCCCTCTCCCTTCTCCCCTCTCCCTTCTCCCTATGCCACTCTCCCCTCTCCCTTCCCCCTCTCCCTTCTCCCCTCTCCCTTCTCCCTTTTCCCCTCTCCTTTCTCATCTCTCTCCTTCTCACTTCTCCCCTTCTCCCTCCCCTCTCCCTTCTCCCCATTCCTCCCTCTCCCTTCTCCCTTCTCCCCTCTCCCTTCTCCCCTCTCCCTTCTCCCCTCTCCCTTCTCCCTATGCCACTCTCCCCTCTCCCTTCCCCCCTCTCCCTTCTCCCCTCTCCCTTCTCCCTTTTCCCCTCTCCTTTCTCATCTCTCTCCTTCTCACTTCTCCCCTTCTCCCTCCCTTCTCCCCATTCCTCCCTCTCCCTTCTCCCTTCTCCCCTCTCCCTTCTCCCCTCTCCCTTCTCCCCTCCCGCTTCTCCCTTCTCCCCTCTCCCTTCTCCCTTCCCTTCCCAGCTCTGAATGAGCCTCTGGGCCATGTGCTCCCCCAAAACGTCTCCCCTAATTGGCTGGGAGGCAAGGAGCCTCCCACCATGCAAGCTGCTTGCCTCCCAGCAGGCTAATAGAGGGCTGGAAATACGTGGAATCATTTCTGACTCAGTTCCTGTGTCATAACAAAAAATGGCGGAAAAAGCTTCGGAAGGGCAAAGGAGCTTCCGGTTTTTAAAAATGCTTCGTAATTTTCATGAAATTATTACGAGTAACGAGTTATCCGACGCGGCTCTCTCCATGCCTACTAGATAGGCCTCCCAAAAGATGTGGTGGAAGGGCATGTGCCTCTTGAAACTGCTTTTTGACCACCAGTTTCTCAGGGCAGGTCTCTTCAACCTTCTGGGAGTTTTGGACCTCACCTCCCAGAATTCCTGACCAGTGAACAAGCTGCGTAGGGCTTTTGGCTCGGGCTTCCCATCCAAGTCCTCACCAGAACTGTCCCGGCCTAGCTTCCAAGATCTGATGGGATCTGGTGCCTTTGGTTAGAGATCTATATAAATCAAAAAAGTAATGTTCGTTTGTCGGATTAACATAACTCAAAAACCACTGGAGAAATTGACACCAAATTTGGTCACCAGACAGCAATCAGGCCAACGAGTGACCATCACTCATCAAAACAGTGAAAAACACAGCGGAAGAGACTTAAAAAGCAAAAGAAAAACCCAAAACAATTACAACCCACGCGTAAAACGACATATATATACACAAACACACATCTATAGACACATATATGCACACACACACACAAAACATATACACAGAAAGAAGGGAGGAAGGACGGAAAGAAGGAGGGAAAGAAGAAGGGAAGGAGAGAAAGAAGGAAAGAAAGAAAGGTAGAGAAGGAAGGAAGGAGAAACACAGGGAGAGAAGAGGGGAAAGAAGGAGAGAAGGAAGGAAAAAAAAGAAGGGACGAGAAAGAGGGAAGGAGAGAAGGAGGGAGAGAAAGAGGGAAGGAGAGAAGGAAGGAATGAAAGATAGAGAAGGAAGAAAGGAGAGAAGAAGGGTGGAGAAGGAAGGAAGGAGAGAAGGAGGGACAGAAAGAGGGAAGGAGAAAAGGAAGGAAAGAAAGAAGGGTAGAAAAGGATGGAGAGAAGGAGGGAGAGAAAGAGGGAAGGAGAGAAGGAAGGAAAGAAAGGTAGAGAAGGAAGGAGAGAAGAAGGGAAAGAAGGAGAGAAGGAAGGAAAAAAGAAGGGTAAGGAAAGAAGGAAGGGAAGGAGGGAGAGAAAGAAGGGTAGAGAAGGAAGGAAAAAAGAAGGGTAGAGAAGGAAGGAAGGAAGGAGGGAGGGAAAGAAAGAGGGAAGAAGAAAAGGGAGGAAAGAAAGAAGGATAGAGAAGGAAGGAAGGAGAGAAGGAGAGAAAGAAGGAGGGAAGGAGAGCAAGAAGGAAAGAAAGAAGGGTAGAGAAGGAATGCGGGAGAGAAAAGAGAATGAAAGATAGAGAAGGAAGGAAGGAGAGAAGGAGGGCGAGAAAGCGGGAAAGAAGGAGGGAAGGAGAGCAAGAAGGAAAGAAAGAAGGGCAGAGAAGGAAGAAAGGAGAGAAGGAGGGAGAGAAAACGGGAAAGAAGGAGGGAAGGAGAGAAAGAAGGAAAGAAAGAAGGGTAGAGAAGGAAGGAAGGAGAGAAGGAGGGAAGAAAAGAAAGGAGGGAAGGAGAGCAAGAAGGAAAGAAAGAAGGGTAGAGAAGGAAGGGAGAGAGGAGGAAAGAAGGAGGAAGAAGAAAAAGAGAAAGAAAGGTAGAGAAGGAAGAAGGGAGAGAAGAGGAAAGGAGAGAAGGAAGGAAAAAAGAAGGGTAGAGAAGGAAGGAGAAGAAAGGGAAGAAAGAAGGGAGAGAAGGGAAGGAGGAGAGAAAGGAGGAGAGAAAGAAAAGGGGTAGGAAGGAAGGAGGAAGGAAGAGAAGAAGGAAAAGGAAGGAAGAAGGAGAAAGAGGGAAAGAAAGGAGAAGAAGAGAAGAGGAAAGAAAGGGAGAGAAGAAGGAGGGAGGAAAGGGGAAAGAGGAAAAGAAGGAGAGAAGGAAAGAAAGAAAGGTAGAGAAGGAAGGAAGGAGAGAAGGAGGGAGAGAAAGCGGGAAAGAAAAAGGGAAGGAGAGCAAGAAGGAAAGAAAGAAGGGCAGAGAAGGAAGAAAGGAGAGAAGGAGGGAAAGAAGGAGGGAAGGAGAGCAAGAAGGAAAGAAAGGGTAGAAAAGGAAGGAGGAGAGAAAGAGGGAAAGAAGAAAGAAAGAAGGGTAGAGAAGGAAGGAAGGAGGGAGAGAATGAAATAAAAAAGTGAAAGAGGGAAGGAAGGAGAGAAGGAACGAAAGAGAGAAAGAGGGAGGGAAGGAAGGAAAGAAAGAGACAAGGAAGGATGGAATCAGAGAGCAAACGAAGCGAGAAAAGAAACAAGTAGAGAAGGAAGAAAGAAGAAGGGAAAGAAAAAGAGGGAAGGAAGGAAGAGAAAGAAAGGAGAGAAAGAGGCTTCTTGGGCAATCTTGGAAGGTTGGCCACAGCAACGCGTGGCGGGTACAGCTAGTAGGAAAAAACCATCTTTCCATCATCCTGGAACATGGGGAATCTTGGATCCCATGGCTTGTTCAATTGAAGTTGCTCTTTGCTCAGGTAACAGTGTTCCTGTCGTCATCACTTCTTTTCTCTTCTCCCGCCCAACAGATCTTCCAAGAAGTCGACTTCAACAAGAAGCCCGGCCGCATGAGCAACAAGCCCATAAACTTTGCTGTCATCTTGAAGCTCTCCAATGCCAACCTGCAGGAGAAAGCCTTCCGGGTAAATGGGGAATGTGTATAGCTGGAGGGATTTGCAGTGACGCCTGAAGGTCTGTGTTCTTCCCTCTTTGGAGCATCCCTTGAACGCTTTCCCCATTCTGTCCCTTCCAGGATGGACTCATTGATCAGCTGTACGATTTGACTTTGGAGTATCTTCATAGCCAGGCCTACGTGATTGGGTTTCCAGAGCTAGCTCTCCCAGCTGTTCTTCAGGTAAGAGAATGGTGTGTGCTTCTAATATGAAGGTGGAATGAAAAGTAATGCCTCCACCTTCGTAACTCCTCAACCGTTGGCACTACAGGTATGTGGCTTGTTCAGTAGACTCTCCTCTACAGCTCCATTTTGACAGGAAGCCTTAGCATTGAACAGTTGTGTTGTTAAAGTGAAAAGTAATGCCTCCACCTTCGTAACTCCTCAACAGATGGCAGTACTAGTATGTGGCAGGTACTGGCTTGTTCAGTAGACTCTCCTCTACAGCTCCATTTTGGTGGGAAGCCTTAGCATTGAACAGTTGTGTTGTTAAAGTGAAAAGTAATGCCTCCACCTTCGTAACTCCTCAACAGATGGCAGTACTGGTATGCGGCAGGTACTGGCTTGTTCAGTAGACTCTCCTCTACAGTTCCATTTTGGCGGGAAGCCTTAGCATTGAACAGTTGTGTTGTTAAAGTGAAAAGTAATGCCTCCCCCTTCGTAACTCCTCAACAGATGGCAGTACTGGTATGTGGCAGGTACTGGCTTGTTCAGTAGACTCTCCTCTACAGTTCCATTTTGGTGGGAAGCCTTAGCATTGAACAGTTGTGTTGTTAAAGTGAAAAGTAATGCCTCCACCTTCGTAACTCCTCAACAGATGGCAGTACTAGTATGTGGCAGGTACTGGCTTGTTCAGTAGACTCTCCTCTACAGCTCCATTTTGGCAGGAAGCCTTAGCATTGAACAGTTGTGTTGTTCAAGTAAAAGTAATGCCTCCACCTTTGTAACTCCTCAACAGATGGCAGTACTGGGATGCAGAAGGTACTGGCTTGTTCAGTAGACTCTCCTCTACAGTTCCATTTTGGTGGGAAGCCTTAGCATTGAACGGTTGTGTTGTTAAAGTGAAAAGTAATGCCTCCACCTTTGTAACTCCTCAACAGATGGCAGTACTGGTATGCGGCAGGTACTGGCTTGTTCAGTAGACTCTCCTCTACAGTTCCATTTTGGTGGGAAGCCTTAGCATTGAACAGTTGTGTTGTTAAAGTGAAAAGTAATGCCTCCACCTTCGTAACTCCTCAACAGCATTCTGAACTCCACCAATGATAGAATTGAACCAAACTTGGCATACAGAACTCCCACGACCAACAGAAAATACTGGAAAGTTTTGGTGAACATTGACCTTGAGTTTGGGAGTTGCAGGACATTGACCTTGAGTTTGGGAGTTGTAGTTCATCAACATGCAGAGAGCACTGTGGACTCAAACAATGATTGATCTGGACCAAACTTGGCGCAGATACTCAATGTGCCCAAATGTGGAGTTTGGGGAAAACAGACCTTGACATTTGGGAGTTGTAGTTGCTGGGATTTATAGTTCACCTACAATCAAAGAGCATTCTGAACTCCACCAATGATAGAATTGAACCAAACTTGGCATACAGAACTCCCACGACCAATAAAAAATACTGGAAGGGTTTGGTGGACATTGACCTTGAGTTTGGGAGTTGTAGTTCATCAACATGCAGAGAGCACTGTGGACTCAAACAATGATTGATCTGGACCAAACTTGGCGCAGATACTCAATGTGCCCAAATGTGGAGTTTGAGGAGAACAGACCTTGACATTTGGGAGTTTTAGTTGCTGGGATTTATAGTTCACCTACAATCAAAGAGCATTCTGAACTTCACCAACAATGGAATTGAACCAAAAGAGCATGCTTTTGAAATCCGAGCCATGATTCTGCGTTTGCTCGATTCCGCCTGTCCTCGTTTCTCAACTTGCTTCGCCTACTTTCTAAATATACAATCTTGAAAGGAAGAGAAGTTGGAGGGAATTTTATTTTTCCGTTTGTTTTTATGGTTTGCTTTAAATTGGAAACCTTTGATGGATTCTTCTCCCGTCTGGTTCTCTTCCTGTCCCTTCCCTCTTCCTCCTCCTTCTCCTCCTTCTCCAGCTGAAGACTTTCCTGAAGGACTGCAAGGTTGCCAACTATTGCAAGACCATCCGTCAGCTCTTGGAGAAGCTGCAGGAAAACTCGGCCTACATCACCGCCAAGCGCCAGAAAGCCACTTTTGGCGTTGCGAACCGGGACGCTGTGGTGAGTTCTTCTTGGCACGTTTCTCCCTCCATTCATGCTTCTTTGAATTCTGCAGCACTGCTAGTCACAGCTGACCTCCAGCTGGAGCGCTCAAGGGCCAGGGCTTCCCAGTTCTCAGTGTCTATGCCAGAGTTTTTAAGGTTGGCTTTAAGCCCATCTTTCCAATCTCTTTTCCTCTCCACCCACCTTCCGTTTTCCGTTCTTGAGTTTGGATTAGAGTATCTGCCTTCGGAGATGGTGACCTTTGGGAGTTGATGGCATAGGTCTCCCTATGGATATCCTGGTCCTGAAACAGTCTCTGCTTCATTCGGAAAAATGCTGCACTCGCAGAGCATCAGGTGTTGTTGTATTTCAGTGTCGATGTTGGCTTTTGTGGAAAGGTGGCTGCCAAGGGAGGGGAAATGATCAACATTTTCTAATGTTTACACCAATTAAGCTGTATTTCTGGCATTGGAGAGGGATTGGCTGGTGACTGCTACAAGAGCACTTTGGTTTTCTCAATGTTCAATGACAGGCCAAGTTTCTCATGTGCTTCTGCAAAGGTTTTTAGAGTGGCTTGTAGGTCTTCTATTGAATGCGCACAGACTACGTTATCATCAGCATATTGTAGCTCTATAACTCATGTTGTGAACTTCGTTTTGGCTTTCAATCTGCTGGAAGGTTGAGCTTCTCGTATGCTTCTGCAAAGGTGTTTAGAGTGGCTTGTAGGTCTTCTGAATGCGCACAGACTACGTTATCATTAGCATATTGGACCTCTATAACACATGTTGTTGTGAACTTCGTTTTGGCTTTCAGTCTGCTGGAAGGCTGAGCTTCTCGTATGCTTCTGCAAAGGTGTTTAGAGTGGCTTGTAGGTCTTCTGAATGCGCACAGATGACGTTATCATCAGCATATTGGAGCTCTATAACACATGTTGTGAACTTCGTTTTGGCTTCCAGTCTGCTGGAAGGCTGAGCTTCTTGTACGCTTCTGCAAAGGTGTTTAGAGTGGCTTGTAGGTTGTCTTCTGATTGTGCACAGACTACGTTATCATCAGCATATTAGTCTTTGCTCCTTCCAGCATGTTGATGTTTGTCCACCTAGCTTCCCAAGAGATTTGAGTCCTCTTCGGAGTGAGAAAAGCAGTATATAAATGGTGTAAATAAAATAAATAAATAATAAATTTGCAGGATTTTTCGGAGGCAATGCTGATGGAATCGTTCCAGGAGTTGAGTGTGACGTCTGTAGACAGTCCACGTTTCGCAGGTTGGGAGGACAATAGCTTTATAAACAAGCACCTTGGTATCCCTATGGATGTCCGGGTCCTCAAACACGGTCTGCTTCATTCGGAAAAATGCTGCACTCGCAGAGCTCAGGCAGTGTTGTATTTCAGTGTCAATGTTGACTTTTTTGGAGAGGTGGCTGCCAAGGGAGTGGAAATGGAATATTTCTGTCATTGGAGAGGGATTGGTTGGTGACTACTGGAAGGGCACTTTGGTTTTCTCAATGTTCAATGAGAGGCCAAGCTTCTCGTATGTTTCCGCAAAGGACTTGACAGTGGCTTGTAGTCTTCTTCTGAATGCACACAGACTAAGTTGTCATCAGCATATTACAATTCTATAACTCATGTTGTTGTGACCAGTCTGCTGAGGTGAAATAGCTTCTCGTATGCTTCTGCAAAGGTGTAAAGAGTGGCTTGTAGGTCTTCTGAATGTGCACAGACTACGTTGTCATCAGCATATTGGAATTCTATAACATACGTTGTTGTGACCATTCTGCTGAGGGTAAATAGCTTCTCGTATGCTTCTGCAAAGACATTTAGAGTGTGCAGAGACTACGTTATCATCAGCATATTGGAATTCTAAAACATTTGTTGTGACCAGTCCGCTGAGGTGAAATAGCTTCTCGTATGCTTCTGCAAAAGTGTTTAGAGTGGCTTGTAGGTCGTCTTCTGAATGTGCACAGAGTACGTTATCATCGGCATATTGGAGTTCTATAACATGTTCTTGTGACCTTGGTTTTGGCTTTCAGTCTGCTGAGGTTAAATAGTTTAAAGTCAAGTAGTTATATGTACACATTACATTGGTGGCCATGCTAGCTGGGGATTCTGGGAGATATTGTCCAGACTGTTCATACTGTCAAGCTTTCAAAATGTTTATTTCTGTATTGCTCTCCTTCACGCATTCACTGAGAATTTAATACAGTTTGACGCCACTTTAACTGTCCAGGCTCAATGAAATCGAGTTGTGGGATTTGTAACTTCTGCAAGGCATTTAGAGTGGCTTGTAGGTCTTCTTCTGCATGTACAAAGACTATGTTATCATCAGTATATTGGAGTTGTATAACCAACGTTGTAGGTCTTCTGAATGCACAAAGACTATGTTATCATCAGCATATTGGAGTTCTATAACAGATGTAGATCTTCTGAATGCACACAGACGTTATCATCAGCATATTAGAGTTCTATAACTGATGTTGTAGGTCTTCTTCCGAATGTGCACAGACTACATTATCATCAGCATATTAGAGTTCTATAACTGATGTTGTAGGTCTTCTGAATGCACACAGACTATGTTATCAGCATATTGGAGGTCTATAACAGATGTTGTAGGTCTTCTTCTGAATGCGCACAGACTATGTTATTATCAGCATATTGGAGTTCTATAACTGATGCTGTAGGTCTTCTGAATGCACACAGACTGCATTATCATCAGCATATTAGAGTTCTATAACTGATGTTGTAGGTCTTCTGAATGCACACAGACTGCATTATCATCAGCATATTAGAGTTCTATAACTGATGTTGAAGGTCTTCTGAATGCACACAGACTATGTTATCAGCATATTGGAGGTCTATAACAGATGTTGTAGGTCTTCTTCTGAATGCGCACAGACTATGTTATTATCAGCATATTGGAGTTCTATAACTGATGCTGTAGGTCTTCTGAATGCACACAGACTGCATTATCATCAGCATATTAGAGTTCTATAACTGATGTTGTAGGTCTTCTTTTGAATGAGCACAGACTACATTATCATCAGCATATTAGAGTTCTATAACTGATGTTGTAGGTCTTCTGAATGCACACAGACTATATTATCATCAACATATTGGAGTTCTATAACTGATGTAGGTCTTCTGAATGCACACAGTCTACATTATCATCAGCATATTGGAGTTCTATAACTCATGTAGGTCTTCTGAATGCACACAGTCTACAGTATCATCAACATATTGGAGTTCTATAACTGATGTAGGTCTTCTGAATGCATACAGACAACATTATCATCAGCATATTAGTGTTCTATAACTGATGTTGTAGGTCTTCTTCTGAATGCACACAGACTATGTTATCATCAGCATACTGGAGGTCTGTAACTGATGTTGTAGGTCTTCTTCTGAATGTGCAGAGACTACGTTATCATCAATTCAGATGAGCAAAAATATACACTAACAAGCACATAATGAAGGCTTGTTTCCTTTGGTTGTGATTCTTCCCAGGAACAATGGGAAAAGAAGGTCAGAGAAGAAGGGACGCCGCTGACGAAATACTACGCTCACTGGAAGAAGCTCAGGGAGAAGGAGCTGCAGCTGGAGATCAGCGGCAAAGAGCGGGTAGAGATTAATTAAGTGTATTAATTGGTTGGGTTGGGCCTAATTGACTTGAAAAACTGGTGGCGGGTTTTCATATTTTTAAAAAAGATTATTTTAATATATTGCTGAAGAGGCATTCCTGGGAGAAGAGCCAGAGTGCCTCTCCAGAAAGGAAGCTTGTGATGAGAAGCAGGCATTTTGGAAAGCTCCCACCACCATGATGGGAGTTGTAATCCATCCTGCAGCTAGAGAGCACACTCAACCCCACCAATGGTGCATCCGGCCCGGGGAACGGATGCAGCCCCTTGGGCTCTTTTCTCAGGCTCTCCTCTCTCTCACCACCCTATCCTTCCTTCCTTCTCTCTTTCCTTCCCCTTCCCATTCCCTTCCATCCTTCCTCTCTTTCCTCCCTCCCTCCTTCCTTTCCTTCCTTCCCTCTTCTCCTTCCTTTCCCATCCATCCATTCATCCATCCTTCCCTTCCATCCTTCCTTCCTTGCCTCTTTCCTCTCTCTATTTTTCTCCTTCCTTCCTTCCTTCCTTCCTTCCTTCCTTCCTTCCTTCCTTCCTTCCTTCCTTCCTTCCCTTTTGTCTTCCCTTTCTTCTCTTTCCTTCATCCTTTCCCTTCCTTCCTCCTTCTTTCCTTCCTTCCTTTCCTTCCTTCCAACCTTCCTTCCTTCCAACCTTCCTTTCCACCCTTTTGCCCTTCCTTCCCTCTTTTCTCCTTCTTTCTCCTTCTTTCCTTTCCGTTCCTTTCCTCTTTCTTTCTTTCTTTCTTTCTTTCTTTCTTTCTTTCTTTTCTTCCTTCCTTCCTTTCTTTATCCTTCCTTCTTTCCTTCCCTTCCATCCATCCTTCCCTTCCACCATTTCATCCTTCCTTTCTTTCCTCTTCCCTCCCTCTTTCTCCTTCTTTCCTTTCCTTTGGTCTTTCTTTCCTTCCTTCTCTTTTTCCTTTATTCTTCCTTCCCTTCCTTCCCTTCTATTCATTGATCCATCCTTCCCTTCCACTCTTTCATCCTTCCTTCCTTGCCTCTTTCCTTCCTCTCTCTATTTTTATCCTTCCTTCCTTCCAACCTTCCTCTCCATCCTTTTGCCCTTCCTTCCTTCCCTCTTTCCTCCTTCTTTTTCCTTCTTTCCTTTCTGTTCCTTTCCTCTTTCCTTCCTTCCTTTTTCTTTTTCTTTATCCTTCCTTCCTTCCTTCCCCATTTCATCCTTCCTTCCTTCCCTCTTTCCTCCCTCTTTCTCCTTCTTTCCTTTCCTTTTGTCTTTCTTTCCTTTCTTCTCTTTTTCCTTTATTCTTCCTTCCTTCCCTCCCTTCTCTTCCATCCATTCATCCATCCTTCCACTCTTTCATCCTTCCTTCCTTGCCACTTTCCTCCCTCTCTCTTTTTCTCCTTCCTTCCTTCCTTCCTTCCTTCCTTCCCTTTTGTCTTTCCTTCCTTCTTTCCTTCTCCTTCCCCTTTCTTCTTCCTTCCTTCCTTCCTTCCTTCCTTCCTTCTCCTTCCTTTCCTCTTTCTTTCCCTCTCTCTTCCTCCTTCCTTCTCCTTCTTTCTTTCCTTCCTTCCTCTTTCTCCTTTTTCTTTTTTCTTTATTCTTCCTTCTTTCCCTTCCACCCTTCCATCCTTCCTTCCTTCCCTCTTCCCTCCCTCTTTCCCCTTCTTTCCTTTCCTTTTGTCTTTCTTTCTTTCCTTCTCTTTTTCCTTTATTCTTCCCTCCTTTCTCTTCCCTTCCATCCATTCATCAATCCTTCCCTTCACTCTGCCACGCATTGCTGTGGCCAACCTTCCCTCTCTCTTTTTCTCCTCCTTCCTTCCTTCCTTCCTTCCTTCCTTCCTTCCTTCCTTCCTTCCTCCTTCCTTCCTTCCCTCTTTCCTTCCTTCTCTCCCTCTTCCCTTCCTTCTTTCTCCTTCTTTCTTTCCTTTCTTTCTCTTTCCTTCCTTTTTCTTTTCTTTATTCCTTCCTTCTTTCCTTCCCTCTTCCTTCCTTCCTCTCTCCTTTCTCTTCTTTTCCTTTCCTTCTTTCTTCTTCCTTCCTTCTCTTTTTCCTTTTTCTCCTTCCCTTCCTTCCTCCCTTCTCTTCCCTTCATCCATTCATCCATCCTTCCCCCTTTCCATCCTTCCTTCCTTGCCTCTTTCCTCTCTCTATTTTTCTCCCTCCTTCCTTCCTTCTTTTGTCTTTCCTTTCCTTCCTTCCTTCCTCCTTCCCTTCCTTCCTTCCTTTAATCCTTCCTTTCCACCCTTTCTCCCTCCCTTCCCTCCCTCTTTCCTCCCTCTCTTCTTTTTTCTTCTTTTTTCTGAAGTATGTCTGTACGTATGTATGGGTGTGTATGCATATAATACACGTGTCTGTGTGTGTAACCTTTTCTTTCTCCACTTACAGCTTGAGGACCTGAACTTGCCTGAAATCAAGCGGAAGAAGCCAGGCGAACAGAAAGAGGACGACAAGAGGGAATTTAGGGAGCTTTTTGAGATGGACAGCGACTCCGAGGAGGAAGGGACTGGCAGCCTCTTCGTCAAAGGTATGGAGGCCAGATGTGGTTTGTGGGGTTAGATGAAGTAATTATATTATTATTATTATTATTATTATTATTATTATTCAGGGGTTAGTTGAGACTCTGGCACAAGCCAGTCAAGGTGGTCCCTGTGGTGATGGGCACACTGGGTGCAGTGCCTCAAGACCTTGGCCTGCACTTAAAAACAATCGGCACTGACAAAATTACCATCTGCCAGCTGCAAAAGGCCACCTTCCTGGGGTCTGCACGCATTATTTGCCGATACATCACACAGTCCTAGACACTTGGGATCCTATACAACAGCCAGCAGAGTGATCTTGTCTGCTGTGGACTCATCTTGTTGGGTTAGTACACACAACAACAGCAATAACAATATCTCCCAAAGGGACTCAGGGCGGCTTACAAACAGGACATACAACAACAACAACAACTCCCAAAGGGACTTGGGGTGGCTTACCAAACAGTACATACAACAACAACTCCAAAAGAGGCTTGTGGCAACTTACAAAACAACACATACAACAACAACTCCCAAAGGGACTTGGGATGGCTTACAAAACAGTACAGACAACAACAACAACATCGCCCAAAGGGACTTGAGGTGGCTTACAAAACAGCACATACAGCAGCAACAGCAATAACAACATCTCGCAAAGGGACTTGGGGCAACTTACAAAACAACACATACAACAACATCTCCCAAAGGTCCCCTTTCTCTTCACTCTTCATTATAATATTACAAATATTATATGTATATACAATATATTATATTATATTATATTCTTAGCATAGCACAGGTGACAAAGTGGAAATGTCTTCCTGGTCCCCTCTCTCTTCACTCTGGCCCAGAGTGAAGTAATATAACACACACATGCAGTTCAAAAACATGCAAGTGTGAGTAGATCAATAGGTATTGTTTGAGTGGAAGGTAACGGCAGTCATGTAGTAATGCCGGCTACATGACCTTGGAGATGTCTACGGACAATGCTGGCTCTGGCTTAGAAATGGAGATGAGCACCACCATCCAGAGTTGGGCATGACTACGCTTAATAAATATTATATGTATATAAAATATAATATATTATATTGCTTTATATTATATTATTAGAATAGCACAGGAGACAAGGCAGAACTGTGTTCCTGGCCCCCTCTCTCTTCACTCTGGCCCAGAGCGGCAGTTGGTGCTGGGGGAGGGGTCCCCAACTGATGACATATGCAGGAGACAAGATGGAACTGTCCCCTTGTCCCCTCTCTTTTCACTCTGGCCCAACTGATGACATATGCAGGAGACAAGACAGAACTGTGTTCCTGGCCCCCTCTCTCTTCACTGTGCCCCAGAGCAGCAATTGGTGCTTTGGGGAGGGGCCCCCAACTGATGACATATGCAGGAGACAAGATAGAACTGTCCCCTGGCCCCCTCTCTCTTTACTCTGGCCCAGAGCGGCAGTTGGTGCTGGGAGGAGGGGTCCCCAACTGATGACATATGCAGGAGACAAGATGGAACTGTCCCCTTGTCCCCTCTCTTTTCACTCTGGCCCAACTGATGACATATGCAGGAGACAAGACAGAACTGTGTTCCTGGCCCCCTCTCTCTTCACTGTGCCCCAGAGCAGCAATTGGTGCTTTGGGGAGGGGCCCCCAACTGATGACATATGCAGGAGACAAGATAGAACTGTCCCCTGGCCCCCTCTCTCTTTACTCTGGCCCAGAGCGGCAGTTGGTGCTGGGAGGAGGGGTCCCCAACTGATGACATATGCAGGAGACAAGATGGAACTGTCCCCTTGTCCCCTCTCTTTTCACTCTGGCCCAACTGATGACATATGCAGGAGACAAGACAGAACTGTGTTCCTGGCCCCCTCTCTCTTCACTGTGCCCCAGAGCAGCAATTGGTGCTTTGGGGAGGGGCCCCCAACTGATGACATATGCAGGAGACAAGATAGAACTGTCCCCTGGCCCCCTCTCTCTTTACTCTGGCCCAGAGCGGCAGTTGGTGCTGGGAGGAGGGGTCCCCAACTGATGACATATGCAGGAGACAAGGCAGAACTGTGTTCCTGGCCCCCTCTCTCTTCACTCTGGCCCAGAGCAGCAGTTGTTGCTGGCGGGAAGGGGTCCCCAACCGATGACTGAGTTTTCGTGTTAGGGATCTTTTTAATTTTCAACGTTTTGACTCAGTCGAAGGAGGCTGAGCCCTTTCCGTTTGCAATTGGAGGAAGGAAGTAGTGGTGGGGCTGATGTTGATCCAGGTTGACTCAATGCGATAGGACTTTTCCCTCAGACAAATTGAGCAGAGCACAGCTGCTCTACCAGAAGCGTGTGTGTGTGTGTGTGTGTGTGTGTGTGTGTGCGGAGGGACAGCGGCAGCAGGTCATAGCGGGGGAATGGTGTTTGGGCACCCCTGGAGAGGCAATTAGGCCGCGCATGGCTGGGCTGGTGATGCCGCCTGATTTCTGAACGTCGCTGCCAACCCAGCGACAGCGGCGACGCCACTTTCCCTGCGAGGGAAGAGGCAAGGGGGGGAAATCCTGTCGGCGGCGTGGAGCGGGCTGCCAACGCGAAAAGCGAAGTGACACGTTTTGGAGCCGGCGAGCCTCCCTTGGCGGAAGAACAGCAGGAGCTGTCACGGCTGGAAATCGCCCTTTTCGCACTCTTCACACACTTCCCCTTCAATGTGCAGGGAGCAGGAGAAAGAACATCCGAGACCGGGAGGGAAGATGTTGGGCGAGTGGGCTTATTAACCAAAGACCCTCCTCAGAAATGCACAGCAGCATGACTTATTAGCAGCAGTGTGACTTAGCACCAGTGGCCAAAAGTGATAGAACAAAAACACACAGACCAATGTTCTCTCTTCGATAGGAGGCTTTCATTTGCAGTAAAATAATATGGGCGCACTATTTACAATAACAAGGTTTCCACAACACAAATGAAGTTCTTTACACTTCCTTCTTTGCTTCCATGCTGGGCTTCTTTCTCATGCAGATAAACAGCTTCTCTCTCACAGAGCTTCCTCTCACACTGAGGTCTTCTCATACTGAAGCCTACTTCACACTGAGGTCTTTCTCCCACTGAGGCCTTCTCACATTGAGGCCTCTCTCAGACTGACGCATCTCTCTCACACTGTGGCCAACTAACACAAATAAAGTTCTTTACGCTTCCTTCTTTGCTTCCACTCTGGGCTTCTTTCTCACACAGATAAACAGGTTTGCTCTCACAGAGCATCCTCTCACACTGAGGCTTTCTCTCACAGTGAGGTCTTCTCATACTGAAGCCTACTTCCCACTGAGGTCTTTCTCCCACTGACGCCTCTCTCACACTGAGGCTAACTAATACAAATAAAGTTCTTTACACTTCTTCTTTGCTTCCATGCTGGGCTTCTTTCTCATGCAGATAAACAGCTTCGCTCTCACAAAGCTTCCTCTCACACTGAGGCCTTCTCTCACACTGAGGTCTTCTCATACTGAGGCCTCCTTCACACCGAGGTCTTTCTCCCACTGAGGCCTTCTCACATTGGGGCCTCTCTCAGACTGACGCCTCTCTCACACTGTGGTGAACTAACACAAATAAAGTTCTTTACACTTTTTTGCTTCCATGCTGGGCTTCTTTCTCATGCAGATAAACAGCTTCGCTCTCGCAGAGCTTCCTCTCACACTGAGGTCTCATACTGAAACCTACTTCACACTGAGGTCTTTCTCCCACTGAGGCCTTCTCAGATTGAGGTCTCTCTCAGACTGACGCCTCTCTCACACTGAGGCGAACTAACACAAATAAAGTTCTTTACACTTCCTTCTTTGCTTCACACATTGAGGCCTCTCTCAGACTGACGCCTCTCTCACACTGAGGCAAACTAACACAAATAAAGTTCTTTAAACGTCCTTCTTTGCTTCCACACTGGGCTTCTTTCTCATGTAAATAAACAGCTTCACTCTCACACAGCTTCCTCTCACACTGAGGCCTTCTCTCACACTGAGGTCTCCTCATTCTGAAACCTACTTCACACTGAGGTCTTTCTCCCACTGAGGCCTTCTTACATTGAGGCCTCTCTCAGACTTAGGCAAACTTAACATACATTAAGTTCTTTACACTTCCTTCTTTGTTTCCACACTGGGCTTCTTTCTCATGCAGATAAACACCTTCACTGTCACAGAGCTTCCTCTCACACTGAGGCCTTCTCACATTGAGGCCTCTCTCAGACTGACATCTCTCACACTGAGGCGAACTAACTTCCGGGATCTCAGACCTCCACTGGAAATAAATATTTTATATTAATATTTTCAAAAACCCACTAAACAGCGAGTCTGCAAAAGTGAACCACGAAGTAGCGAGGGAACACTGTAAACAGCTTCACTCTCACAGAGCTTCTCACATTGAGGCCTCTCATAGACTGACGTCTCTCTCACACTGAGGCAAACTAACGCAAATAAAGTTCTTTAAAGTTCTTTTTTCGCTTCCATTCTGGGCTTCTTTCTCATGCAGAGGAACAGGTTCGCTCTCACAGAGCTTCCTCTCATACTGAAGCGTTCTCTCACACTGAGGCCTTCTCATACTGAGGCCTATGAACACTGAGGCCTCTCTCACACTGAGGTGAACTAACACTGAGGCCAACTAAACTACAAACACACCTGTTTATGTTGAATGGCAACTTTTGCTCAGTCATTACATCCATTTAACCCTTCAGTGCTTGACTCACATTTTTGTAATTCAAAATATCTAGTTAATTTTTAATATTTCTGACAGAAGCACCATAGAATTGGCCATCCAGTCCAACCCCCTTCTGCTAGGCAGGGAAACACAGTCAAAGCACACCCAGTAGATGGCCACCCAGCTTCTGACTCTCCTAGACTTGGAAGAGACTGCATGGATCATCTAATCCAACCCCCTTCTGCCAAGCAGAGAAACACAAAGCCCTCTCAACAGATGGCCATCCAGCCTCTGAATCTTCTAGAGTTGGATGAGACTCCAACAGCCATCTAATCCAACCCCCTCCTTCCAGACAGGATGACACAATCAAA